AGAGAGAGAGAGAGAGAGAGAGAGAGAGAGAGAGAGAGAGAGAGAGAGAGAATTTTAAGTATTCAGAGAAAAAAAAGAGGACAGAGATAGAAAAAGGAAGGACAAAGAGAAAAAGAGGACAGAGACCAAAAGGAACCACAACTGACCCCAGCAGCGTTGCCGTGCTGGGTCCCTGTGGCAGTGCCAAATCCAAAGCCTGATTGTGTTGTTGTGCTGGTGCCGAACAAGGACTTGTTCTGATTGAAGGACGAGGTGGCAGCTGAAGTTTTGCTGCCAGGACCTATCAAGAGCACAGAATACCAATAATATGAATACATAAAACCTTACTATAAAGTACACAAAGAGAAATAAAATTACAGCATACCCTGTCAAAAGGCTAAAGTATTGGAGTCCCCGCTTTTCCCTAGGAACAGATCTGGACTGCATAAAAGCACCCAAAAAAATAATTTAAAAGTCCAAGGAGAGCTAACCTTATAAAAGTGCATGTATCAATCACTAGTTCAAATGCCACTCCTGGATGAACAATTACATACTCCGTAGAACAGAAGAAAGGCCAGCAACACTCTACGTTCATAATACAAGGGTAAAGAATTCCATTTTCACTTGTTGAAAATTCGCTTAAAAGTAAAAAAAAGTAAAAGAAACCTTTTTTCCAGTCAATGTTGTCTTTCATACAGATAGCTTTTTTCGACTCACTCAGCTCTCAAATACAGTCAAGCTTGCAAAATACCCCAATAATCATAATGAGAACTTTCAGCATATATAACAAACTATAGTAATCAGAACATTTATTTGTGCCCTTTGCTAATGTTTGTTTTAAAAAAAACGTCCTTTCTCAATTTATTTGTAACACCAAGCAAACATAGACTTTACAAGAATGAATAAGTACTAGTAGTTGTCAGTCGTAAAAACTGAACATTTTTATGGAAAAGGGCCACATTTCATAAGGAAGCAAATAAGGATACTGAAAGCTTTGAAAAAAAAATTGATGTACCAAGCTTTATGCTGGTGTAGTAAAGTAGGAAGATATCGTGAATCCACTGGATAATAATAGCTCGTCCGTGAATGTCTGATGATGATCAATGTACCAGCAGAGGGGAATATTTCTTATGCAAAATAGAAGAATTCTGAGAATTATAGGTTGAAATGTCTTGTGCCTTCTGCTATGGCAAATGAGACCAATAATTCGGGCAAAGAAAAGATTGGCACATTTTGAGCATTCAAAAGCCCCACTTCTACTTGTGGATGTGCACAGTTTGTGGGCTTCTCTCTTGGTTTCAGCATTTCTTATTCATGAAGCCTTATATGACTTGCTGCCCAGTGTGACTGCTGCTCTCCAACTGGGTCTGTCTGGAGCTATTCTCTCCAATGTCGAAAGGTTTATGTTGAAGTCCTTCAAAGACATTATTAGGGTGTCAGTTCACCGAGGACAGTTCAGAACAGAATTCTGCCTTTGGGATTCTAAAATCAGGCATTCTTACGACATGGCCAGCCGAGCGAAGTTGAGTCAAATTGAGCTTAGAAAACAGACTCTCAGCATTTGCCCTTACCAGAACTTCAGTATCTGGTATTTTATAATTCCGTCTGAGGCCAATAATTCTCCAGAGGAAATGGTTAAGTTTCTTGGTATGACTTTGGTACACCATCCAGGTCTTGGCAGGCACCATACCAAGGGTTTGGAAGACCACAGCACTGCAGACTTTCAAACAATGGATACTCTTTGTCAAAACAAGTTGACGACCTACCCCAAAAGCCTGCGTTCGCCCCACTTTCCAGATTTTTGCCACTGAGGCCATCACTAGTTCCAAAGAAAAAGCCCGCTCCTGATGTCTCAGGGGCTTCTGCAAAATATCCAGTGCTGTCAGAAGGAGCTTGTTTCCACTTGCGGTTTGCTGTGTAGTCCTCTGCTCTCTGTTCCTGTAAAGCAATATTTCAATTTTGGAAATTTATTTCAGCTTTACATATCTTAATACAGGTACATACCAGCAAATCATCCTCATATTACAGCACTCAAAATACAAAAGGGATTTTTTTTTTTATTGGTAACCTACACAAAAAAGAAATTTATTAGGACAATCAAAATTTCCCAAAAGCCAGTACACAAACTGCACTACTTACCTCTAGACTTTTGCTTTCATACTCCTTCATTGCAGCGATACATTGATGCTTGGTGTTGATGTTGGTGGTCACACCGTTCTTCATCATGGTGTCCTGTCCAGTGGGGGCGGCAAACGTCACTGTAGTGCCACCTGCTTTTGCCCCAGCATTGCCGAAGGCTCCAGAGGCAGAGGCTTGGCCAAAGAGGGAACTGCTGCTAACACCAAGCAAACCTCCAGATCTGGCTTGATTGGTAGTGCCTCCAAAACCTTCTTGTGAGCGGAGAGGGAAAACAATGAAAACACTTGATAAGTAGTAGTATAGTATAGGGTTTTACGGCGCTCGCAACTGCGTAAGGTCATATGAGCGCGCGAAACACTAGTTGGTAGCATTCGTAACAGTCCACTGCACGGTAGGTCAACAATTTGACTTTAAAATGCTAAAATATTAAAATTCAGTGTAAATATATGTTTACAGTTTAAAACAACTCTTATCAATAACAATAAAAAAATTTACAATATTGTTTCATTTTAATTTTATAATTTGCCATAAAGGCCAATGCCATTCATAAAATTCAAAATTCTGTTGGGACCAACGACGGAAAAAATGTCTTGCAATTTCTTGCATTTATAATATTTCCTTCGGATCTCTCCAAAGTCTAGACATTCGGTTGAGGTTTGTCTAATGGTACAATCTGTGTCGCATCCGACACAGAACTGCTTCTCATCTCCCTGTAGGAGGTATTTGTTGTGGGTCAGGGCCGTGTGTCCGATGCGCAATCGAGTAAAAATGACTTCGTCTCTTCAAGAGAGGTCCGAAGGATTTCGCTGTTCTAGTTTGGGTTTTATAACATACAGTTTATAGTTTTTCTGTTTTTCCATGTGGCTCTCCCACAGACATGAGGTGTATTTTTTTACTTTATTTCTAAAGTCAGTCTGTGGGAGAGTGTTTGTCGTTGATCCCAGCAGAACACGTTCAAAACTCAACAAAAATATATCCTTTACATTGGATCAATCCGTAGATCAGTCCTATTGGAGACGGGCGTTAAACTAGGAGGTCCCACCCCTTAAATGACCTGATAGTGGTGACAGGGGCGTTAAACCCATACTATTTCAGCATTTCAATCCGTAAATAACAGAGCTACAAGCGTTTTAATGAGGCTACCCCAGTTTGCTTGTCCAATTGCTGAAGAACAAGTAAAATACCCAATACCTGGGGAGCAGCTTTCTGGAAAGGACCTTAGACTAACTTAGACAACAATGGGTTAAGTCATAGATACACAGACCATGGGGTCAAACGGTCATGTCAGTGGGGCAAAGGCCAAGAGCATGATCTTGTGTTTTAAACATTTCAGTAACCATAGGGAAAGGGGCATATCTATACCATGAAACGAAAATAGAATATCCTTTTGAGCTAAGAAAACAGATTCTCAGCATTTGCCCTTACCAGAACTTCAGTATCTGGTATTTTATTCTTCCGTCTGAGGCCAATAATTCTCCAGAGGCATTTCCTGTGGAAATGGTTAAGTTTCTTGGTATGACTTTGGTACACCATCCAGGTCTTGGCAGGCACCATACCAAGGGTTTGGAAGACCACAGCACTGCAGACTTTCAAACAATGGATACTCTTTGTCAAAACAAGTTGACGACCTACCCCAAAAGCCTGCGTTCGCCCCACTTTCCAGATTTTTGCCACTGAGGCCATCACTAGTTCCAAAGAAAAAGCCCGCTCCTGATGTCTCAGGGGCTTCTGCAAAATATCCAGTGCTGTCAGAAGGAGCTTGTTTCCACTTGCGGTTTGCTGTGTAGTCCTCTGCTCTCAGTTCCTGTAAAGCAATATTTCAATTTTGGAAATTTATTTCAGCTTTACATATCTTAATACAGGTACATACCAGCAAATCATCCTCACATTACAGCACTCAAAATACAAAAGGGATTTTTTTTAAAAGAAAAAAAGAAATTAATTAGGACAATCAAAATTTCCCAAAAAGCCAGTACACAAACTGCACTACTTACCTCTAGACTTTTGCTTTCATACTCCTTCATTGCAGCGATACATTGATGCTTGGTGTTGATGTTGGTGGTCACACCGTTCTTCATCATGGTGTCCTGTCCAATGGGGGCGGCAAACGCCACTGTAGTGCCGCCTGCTTTTGCCCCAGCATTGCCGAAGGCTCCAGAGGCAGAGGCTTGGCCAAAGAGGGAACTGCTGCTAACACCAAACAAACCTCCAGATCTGGCTTGATTGGTAGTGCCTCCATAACCTTCGAGAGAGTGGAGAGGAAAACAATGGAGACACTTCATTAAAAAATTGTGAATGCTCAGACAGTTCCGAATAGCTACAAAAATGAAAATGAGAGAGACGTTATACGAGAAAAGGCAGTCTTTAACTCTTTTGTCCTCCTACACCACCACCTGCAATTATGTGTAATTGTACATCTTTTATGCCTCCCATCAACACAATTTAGAACATTTAGGAGGTGAGGTTCTGTCAGGGCCAACCTGAGCCGACAGGGATAAAACATCCCTACAGAAAGATTGAGATGTATATACTCAATAAAAATTCTCCCCAAACGGAAATTGAACTCACGTCTTAGAACCAACTTTTTTAGACGAAGACGCGAGCATGACCAGCCGAGTTCCATAAAAAGGGTTTTTTAAATTTAGTTTAGTATGGGGTTTTACGGCGCTAGCAAATGCATAAGGTCATATGAACGCGCGAAACACAAGTTAGTTCTATTCGCAACAGTTTACTGTACGGCAGGGCTCAGGTCAGTAGTTAGATCTTAAAACGTTAAAATATTTAAAATTCGGTGTAAATATATTTTCAATCTAAAACAACTTTCCTAAATAACATAAAAGAATTTTAATAATTTAATTTCACTCTATAATTTCCAATAAAGGCCAAAGGCCTTCATAATACCTCAAATTCCGTTGGGAACAACGATGGAACAAATGTCTTGCAATTTTTTGCTTTTAAAGTATTTCCTTCGGGTCTCTCTGAAGTCGAGACATTCGGTTAAAATGTGTCTAATGGTAAAATCTGTGTCGCATCCGACACAAAACGGCTTCTCTACTCCCTGAAGGAGGTATTTGTGTGTTAGGGCCGTGTGTCCGATGCGTAATCGAGTAAAAATGACTTCCTCTCTTCTGGAGAGGCCCGAGGGATTTCGCGGTCCCAGTTAGGGTTTAATATTGTGAAGTTTGTTATTTGTTGTTTTTTTTTCTAATTAAGTGTTCGTCGTTGACCCCAACAGAAGGGATAAGGATTTCTTCGCCAGGTCATCTACCTGCCCGTTTCCTCGGATGCCCACATGGATAGGTATCCATGCGAACACAATACCTTTCCCTGTTTCAGTCAAGGCGTGTATCCTTTGTTGTAGCCTAACTATTTTTGGGTGCAGGAGTATGTTGTTTGTGTGTGAGGTGATGCAAGACAGAGAGTCAGAAAGGATAAGGAGAGATTTATTAGGAGAGTTTTCTACGGAGTTCAGTGCCATGTCAATGGCAGTGGCCTCCGCAGAGAAAATGGAGGCTTCAGGATGGAATGTCCTCTGGTGTGTACTGTTGGGAAGATAGGGCTGCGGCGCCCACTTCATTGTCTTTTTTGGAGCCAACTTTGAAGATAAGCTCCGCACCGGGGTATTTTTCTAAAACTTTTTTGTATTCTACTCTAAATGTTTTGGTGTTTGTGATTGCTTTGTCGTGTGTGGTCAGCTGTAACTCTACTTTGGCCTTGGTGACGTGTCACGGAGGGAGGTCAGAGAAAAGGAATTGTTGGGTGTCTTGTTTGGAAAACGTGTATGTTTTTGAGGTCCTCAAAGATTCTGAGGCCGTAGGGTTTGATGAGTTTTTCGTTGTTTTGGCATTTGTTTATGGTTTCTGGGTTTGTTTTAAAAATGCGGTCGTGTGCTAGGCTCTCTGGTGTTGAGCTCTGTTTAATTGCGTATTGTAGTGAGAGGTGTGTGCATCTGAGTATGAGTGATGGTATGTTTGCCTCGGCCTGGAGGCTCTCCACCGGAGAACCGCGGAAGCCCCCAGAGCGAGGCGGAGTCCTTGGTTTTGCACTGGGTCTAGCATTTTGAGGATGTGTGGTTTTGCCGATCCGTAGACTTGACAGCCGTAGTCAAGCCTGGATCGGACAAGGGAGATGTGCAAATGGAGAAGGTGTTTTGAGTCCCCGCCTCACTCCGGGTGCGATAGAATTTTCAAAACGTTTAACCCTTTCTGGCACCGCACACGAAGGTCTTTGATGTGTGGTATGAATGTGAGTTTTTTAGTCGAATATAACGCCGAGGAAACGAGCCTGGTCCTGGACGGGAATCCTTTCCCCGTATAGTGTCATATGCGGCTGCAGTACACGTCTGCCTTAACGGCAGAAGTGTACTGCAACCGTTTTTTACGGGGAGAACTTACAACCGTTATTGTTTGCCCACTTTTCGAGTTTGTGCAGCTGCAACCTTTACATAGATCTTAGTTGAGGATTTTTCCAACGGCATCATATCAAAAAGTCGTCAACGTATAACGAGCTGTCTAGGCTATTTTGGAGGGTTTTTACGATGGAATCTATTTTGATTTCAAATAGGAGAGGAGAAAAGATGCTCCCCTGGGGGGGACACCTTCCTCCTGTTGGTGGGAATCTGAAAGGGAGGATCCGACACGAGCCTGGAAGGAAGGGTTCTTATGGAAATTGCCAATGAAGGCAGGGAGGTGACTGAGTATGCCGAGTGCGTGCAGGTCTCTGAATGGTCTGTAAATGGATGGGTGAGTGTGGTCTTTGTTTGGTTCGGGTATTGGAATGACAATGGCGAGACGCCAAGACTCTGGAAAGGAGTGTGACCGCCACATGTCGTTGTATATGTCTAGCAGGAGTGTAAGTGTTCTGTGGGTAAGTGTCTAATGATCTGGTTGTGGATGTCATGCTGTCCCGAGGCTGTATTGTCCAGGTCCTAGATGCACGGTGTTAGTTCGTCTAATGTGAAGTCTGCATTGTAGGTTTCAGTGTTGTTTGAGTGGAAGTTTAGGTGTTGTTGTTCTCTGTTAGTTTTGATGTTTTGAAAGGTGGTGTTGTAGTTTGCTTGGGAAGAGTTTTTGGCGAAAGATGTAGCTATTGTGTTAGCGATGTCTACATGTGTTTCAGCTATGATTCCATCCGGCCTCTGGACGTGCCGAATGGTGTCTGTGCGTCTACCCAAGAATTTGTTTTGCAATTTTGAAAACTTAGTTGAGTGGTGTCTGGCTGTTGATTTTGCAGATGCATTTTTTGAATGATTGTCTTTTGCTTTCCCTGAGACATCTACGTGCCTCAGCTCGAGCCTTTAAATAATTAATCTTGTTTTCTGTGGTGGTGTTGTCGACGGCCTTTCGATATGCTGTCTTCATTTTCTTTACTGCATCATCCCAGTCCTCAGAGAACCAGATCTTGTTCTTCCTGGGTTTTGTTTTTGTTTTTGGTATGTGTTTGTGGCATATTTCTAAAAGCTTTTCAATGATTTTTTGTAGTTGAGGTCGAAAGTGCGATTCAGAATCTGGGAACATTCAGCGGCAAACCCGTCCCAGTGTGCTCTTTTGAAGTTGAAGCGTTCTGGGATAGGGTCGTTTTGGAGGCTATTGCTTTTTAGAAGAATTGAGAAACGGTCCGTACGGTCATCCAGCACAGACAACTCAAGATCTGGGACTAGGTTAGGGGTACAAAAGGTGAGGTCAAGGGATGAAGTGCTTAAAGGGGCTCTGTTTCTGTAAGTTGGGGACCTATCATTTAAGAGGCAGATGTTTTTTTGTTTTTTTTAAATCTACTATTATTTTTCCTTTCAGGTCTGAAGGTTTGTCTCCAAAAAAGGGGGCTGTGGGCATTAAAATCACCAAGCCAAATAAAGGGTTTTGGAAGCTGGGCCTTTAAGTTATGTAGTTGGGTTATTTTGAGGGGGTAATTTGGTCCGTTGTAAACTGAGCAGATCGTGATTGGTCTGTGCAGGGTGACCCGTACGGCAATAGCCTGGAGGGTCTGTGGAGTGTGTTGTTGTCGGTGTAAATGGTGGTACCCCCGAAGCAATCTGGTTCTCCGTGTGAATATGATGATACGTAGTAAATCCTGTTAAGTCCATGGTTGAAGCCGGGGCGAATTTTGTTTCTTGCATACAGGCCACAAGTGGGAAGTGTTGCAAATCCGCAATGGAAGGTCGGATTCCGCCGGCATTCCATTGTAGGACCGCCTTTATGTCTTTTTATATTTGGAGCACAAAGGCACCAGCTTCGTAGAAACACCCTGACTCCTCTTTGCGGGGGAGGCAGAGTGTTTTCTAGGTTGCCGTCCTGGATTGGACGGCGGCCTAATGGGGGATTTGGAGGAGTGACGGACTCCGCCCTTCCCGGGGACATGCCAGGGAGGGGGTCGGCACTGTCCTCGTTCATAGGCAGGGGTTTGTCTGCAGGGGGAGGGGGGGTAGGGGAAGGTGGAGCAGACGGAGGGGGTTGGGAAGGGGCTGGGAGAGGGGGGAGGGTCCACCTCACAATTCATCAGAGGGAAGAGCTGTGAGGTGGAAGAAGAAAAAGAAGAAGAAGAAGAAGAAGTGATAGAAGAGGGGTGAGGGGGAGAAGAGGGGGCGGAGGAAGAGTCCTCCCCGTCCTCCTCTAGAACCCCAAAGCGGTTAGAAAGTGCCACCTCAGAGGGGGTTGCCACAAGGATAGTCGGGTTTTTTTAACTTTTAGGCATAGAGACTTGCCTGTTGACCGCGGGCTTTGGGAGGTCGACAGTAGAATTCCTTGCCGACCATCTGGGCTGCCTTTAAGTATGACTGGCCAATGACTGGGGCCATGATTGGTGGGCAGACAGCCTTACAGGCTTCCTGAAACGAGCAGCCATTTCGCGCCTTGTATTCTTGGATGGCGCGTTCTTGGAGCCAAGTCGGGCACGCCTTGCTGAACGTTGTGTGCTGGCTGTGGCAATTGGGGCAACAAGGACTAGCCTTGCATTCCTTCTCAGGACGCCCGGTCTTGCCACAACGAAGACACGCGGCTGCGTGACGGCATCGTGACTGGCTATGGCCGAACTTCTGACACTTGAAACAGCGCAGAGGTTTCGACACATAGGGTCCTACGTCAAGTATCAATTAAGATGCCCGAACAGTGGCTGGAGGGCGGCTGGATTCGAATGTGAGTACAATCGTGTTTGTGTTAATACTGGTCTCCCCCCGCCGAAGAGTAATCCGGCAGGCTTCGACCACTCCCTCATAGTGCTCCACAATTTCTTCCATGGAGCAGCCTTTCAGCTCATGGCTGTGGACGACACCCTTCGAGAGGTTAAACTTCTGGTAACGCTCGGACTTACATGGAATACCGCCGAAGGTCGTGGTATCTAGGAGTTTGGTCACTTCGTCCTCAGCTGCGCACTTGACAAGAAGTGCACCACAGGAAAGTTTCTGTACACATGTGGGGATGTATCCCAGAACTTTCCGTAGTGCATCTCCTGTCTTAAAGAGGTTCAGATCGGTAATCTTTCTCTGCGCGTCTTTTTAACCGGAGACGGCCATGTACGGTTACCTCGGAAGCTCCTTGGGAGGACGGAGGAAGGAGGCATCGGTAAAGGTCCTTTTTCCTTTGGATTTGCTCGGCTCGGCGGCCGCACCCGCTTCCGCGAGCCGAGACTTTTTTCCGTTGGGGGCTGGGGAAGGGTCTTTTTTAGTTTTTGTATCCGAAGAAGTTTTGTTGCTGATTCGACTCCCGGGGCTTCCACAACCCCCCCCCCCTCCACCCGCCACCGAGCCCAACAAGGGGGCACATTGCTCGGATAACCGGAGCTGTGCCAGGGCTACCCCGGAGCTATACTCTTCACGAGAAAGGTCAAGATTGACCCAGGGCTTGAAGGGGTTTCAGCTCTCAACCGATTGAGTGGCGTGGGCTGTGCCACCCTCCCGTCTAAGAGGAAAACCTGTGCCAAAGAGGTGTGTTGGCGAGGGACAGTCCATAGAATGAGTTCTCCTCAACCGCCAGGTACCCGGTTTCCCTCCGCACGGATCGCACCTCACGTCAACGAGGCGCCCACTCTGTTGGGTGGTTGACCTCTCTTTTTGCTGCACATGAGGTCAGTGGTGGGAGAAAAGATAGAAGAAGAAAGAAAGAAGGAAGGAGATGAGGAAGATACACCAAAGTCGGTATCGCATCCGGATCCCAGAGGGTTGGGGTCCGTGTGCGACACCTCGCCTTTGAAGGGGTTACAATTCCTGCAGACGAAGCAGTGGGTCTATTTATACCCCCCACCCCCAACTCACTGGGGGTAAAAAAGAGTTTTTAAAATTAAATGCGCATCATTGCAAAGAGCTTATCAAAATCAGAAAAACGTTGAAAAACCAAACAAAAGCAGGAAAAAACACCAATGATCCTTAAAATTTTGCTTGACAGTGAAATATCAGTAAAACTATGTCAACAAGAAATTCCGGAGATCAATAAGGGATGTTAAAGTTTACAGGGGCGCAGACGTAGCTTCTGACGTCCATCTGCTCATTTCAACAATCCAACTAAAAGTAAAGCAAAGACAGGGGATTGTCCACCGTAGGTGCCGGTACAACGCGGAATTTCTGAGAGAGTAATCGTCAAGAGAGAAGTTTAATGTAGCAGTTAAGAACAGGTTCCAGGTGTTGGAAACACAAGGCGTGGATAACAGCATTGAACAAACATGGGAGGTAATAAAAGAAGGCTGGGCCACTATGTGTCAAGAGGTATTGGGGAAACGGAAACATTTTTTGAGGATAACAGTGGAGTAGTCCCGAAAAAAATACCAACCCAAAAACCCAAAAGATTACTACTCTGATCCCAACACTTGATGGTCAGGAATGGACAATCAACAGAAATGCAAGAGCATCACAACAATGTCATAAATTTAGAACAGGGCAATAACCTCCTAGCTGTGATGAGACCCCAATATAGTTTTACGCAGGGACAGAGAAAAGATGTGGCACCCATTATCCAGCCATCTAGTCTTGATGTGACTATATTCTATACACTATAACGCCCACACGTTTACCCATACGTGGGGAAAGGGAAGAGTCATACGCTTCTCACTCTCCTTTACAGTGTGAAATTTCATGTTAATGTGAGTACCAGAACACCAGCTGGCAGTCTTTATTTCTTTTTTAGGCTACTCATTAATGTTTGGAACGAATCACTGCCAGAGAATAAACCAAGACAGACCTGTGTGTCTGCTGTTGAGTGTTTGATTTATTAATGCATTCGCATGACAGCATGCTTGTCAGAGTCCAAGACAACAGCTGAGCAGTCCTCAGTCATAAAAGTAGTGAAGCATGGATGTGTTCTTGCTCCCACCCTGTTCAACCTAATGCTTTCCGCTGCTCTGTCTGAAGTATTCAGTGATGTGGAGATAGGCGCCAGTATCAACTACCACACAGACGGATTAGTCTTCAACATCGGAAGGCTTCAAGCGAAAACCAACATTTTAATGGACACTGTCGAGGACCTCTTTGAGGACGATTGTGTCTTCAGCACTGTCTCAGGGTCAGAAGTCAAAATGAAACAGAGTAAACAAGTTCACTGCTGCCTACAACAACTTTGGCCTAACAATCAGTGTAAAAAGACCAAAGTGTTGCACCAGCCAGACGGGAAAGCCATTTGTTGAGCAGCCAGTCATCGCTATCGCTGGATACGGGCTCTAGTGGTCTAGAGGTAAGGCGTTTGACTCTCAGTCACACGGTTTGGGGAACGAATCCTGCCATCGATGAACACGTTTTCTTCCCTAAAATGTTCCGCTTTCTCTTCCTTTCCTGTTCTCTAGATTCTAGTCCTGTTCTGCTTCAATCACCACTTCCTTCCAAAACTGAAAATACTCCAGTCAGTAGGCCTGTGAAAAATACAGAGTACCTTCGAAATAGGAATGTGGCTGCCTGAAGGCAAGGGGCCATACAAAGTAGGAAAACGGTCAAATATGTTTTTTTTTTAAACAGTTGCAGTGGAGATTGGAGAACCAACAGTTAACTACCCCTAAGTGTTAGTAGAATGAAGAAAGAAGACTATCAATGGACAATAACTGAAAAATGTGGCCAAGTTCACCTACCTAGGGAGCACTCTGTCCAGAAATGTTATCATCAATAACGCAGTGATTGTCGGGCTTGCCAGAGCTAGCGCCTGGACAAGCACCACGATAGCAACCAAGCACGAGGTATACTGGACTATAATTCTCACACAGTGCTCTATAGCTGCAAAATGTCCCCAAAAAATTAACCCTTTTCACACCACCTAGGCATAAAGTGCAGACAACTGCGCTGAGCAGGTCACATAGCTCGTACGCTGGACCATCGCTTCCCAAAAATATTACTATTTTTCAATCTACTACAAGGGAGGTTCTCGCGGAGGACAAAAAAAGTATACCTTAAAAACAACATCAAAGCTTCCACGAAGGCCTTCAGTATTGACTACACAAAATGGGAGCAGACTGCATAGGACAGTGTTGGGTGGCGAGCAGTTTTGTGCCAGGACACATAACAACTGAATTGTTTCAGCCGAGCAGCGCAGGTTCGCCCGAAAAAACCCCCAGGTTCTCCGTCCTATGGTCGAATTGGCATAGAACCTTTGAAGTGCAGATCAGCTTGACCAGTCCTCTTTGCACTCACCCTCGACCTCAGGACGACCTAAACACAGTATCACTATCAGTGTAAAATGTCCATAGATATCTATGTAAATCCTTGTTTTCATTAAAACTTCCAATTCACCAAAATTAAAAACCCAGTCCGAGGAATGAGTTGAATATGAAGTTAATGGTGAGACTAAAAAAGATAACACTCAACTGACATTTCATTTTCTTCCTACTCAGTTATGAAAATGTAACCATCTTTCATTCTACTAAAGTAAAATATAAAAAAACTTTCTCTTTAACCCTGGTGATAGATATGAGCCAAAGTTTCCTTCAAAGTGCTTTCTGTGCACATGAAAAACAAAGAACAAGACAGAAAAAATAACTACCTAATAGAAACAAAATTAAAGCAAACAATAAAATATAAAAACAACATAGAAAGATTACTTATAAATAAACCTTTCATATAACCTTCCAGCAGAAAAAAAAATGTCTTTCGTAAATCAAATAGCTACACGTAACTGTAAAAATAAAACCAGATTTTAAAAGTAAAATTTAAATATTGTTCATTCAAAATTGCACCTTAAATGTGTAATTAATCATAAGATGAGCGACAAATATGAAAACCAAAAATCAAGTCTTTACGCCTACTGAAGAATATAACCAACTAGATCTATAACGTTGAAACACTACAAACCGCTTAGAATATCTTTGACTTACGGAGTGAAGTTCCAAACATTTTCAGGTTTGTCAAGCTTTGTCATCAAGCACGTGCTGTAGAGAAAAAAATCAATCGACAAACTATTAAGGGAAGACCCGGGTTGGCGATCCCAGACAATATTGATAACATTTTTCAAACTATCCAACTTTTGTTTTTTGCGGAAAAAACATCCTTTGACATCTGTTCTGTCGGGTCACAATGACAAAACTGTTTTAAAAACACACTAAATGGCCTAAAAGGGCGTTTGAAAAGTGGAAATTGCACAAAAAATTATTTTTAAAATCCCCGTTTTTTCTGTTTTTCTTTAATCTACTTTTTGACATATGTGACCTCCTTGGTGCAAGGAGTTTTCAAAAACTACGTAAGCTAGAAGCTTCAAATTGGGCGCACAGGTGCTTTAAGATTTATTCTGGGGATCTATGTGAAGGAATTGGGAAATATGTGTAATTTTTTAAATATTCAATTTTTTTAGGGTAATACGTACCCTAAAATTTTGTCAATTGACTTATGGGGGGTTCATTGACTTTGGGCTCACTTTTTTAGTTTTAAAGATAGGTCAAAATCCTCACAGGGATCCCCCAGTCCATATAGGTTTGTACTTGTGTGCCAAATTTCAGGCTGATGATTCAATATTTACTATGAAATTTTTCTGCACTAAGAAACTGGTTTGAAAATCCAAGATGGCCGCCACATAGACCCATTTTTCAGGGGGAAAAATCAGCAAATTCACCTTTAGTACAGCCTATTTATATATGAACTTCTTGTACAATTACATGAAAGTGAATAAAAGTCATTCGTTTCAATTTTTTTCCGGGCTCTGGACAGAGTTCAAAATCTTTTTGAAAACAGAGTAAAAGGCATTGGGCTTTATTTTCATGTACTGGTACTTTAAACTACGCTACAACGGTTCCTGTAAGATATTTAGGATTAGACAAACAGAGCGATAACCTTGATTCTGTACAAAACTCTGTATACCTACTTCAAATTGTGGTCTGCATTTGGATAAAGGCTGTCTATCATGATACATTAAATTAAATTCTTGATCTGAATTAAAGCAAACTGGTGCATTATTTTTTGGTAGATTTTGTTCATATGCCATGTTTCTGGTTTGATCATATTGTTCGCCATGATATACGACATAATTATGGCAAACGTCAGGTTCGAAAAACATCTTTGAACATTTTATCGAACACTCCGAGGTTTCTTCCCCAGAGGATCATCAAAATTTTGAGCGATCGTAGGAATGTCTTTAAAATGCATAAATATATTCACACTGTTTCAAATAGTCTTTCAGTTTAGATTTCTTCCCATTGTTCATAGTTTCTGCATGATGCAAAGACAATGGACCATTAACAGGTGCATATACATAGCAAATTTTATCGTTTTGTGAATTAAAAGTCTCTCTTCTTTTAGGGGCTCTATATTTATAATAATGTTTCCTTGACATGGTCGCAGTGTAGGAAATACAACAACACAAAAATAAGTTTTAAGAATTCTACAGATCTATTCATAGTAGCTCCGATTCCTACTCCTATTACTCTTAAATTTTCACCCAACCCCATAGGCCTCTATAGTCTTCCTACATGAAGTTAGTGTAGGAAACATGCTCATAAAACAGACATGAAACCTATAGTTTTAATTTTATGAATTTGGTATGTTACAGGCATCTCAAGACACTGATACATAAGTATTATAGTTTTGTGGAAAGAATGGTGCATTATTATGAATGTAAACCTTACACACTATTAGGCCTACTTGTATGATCATTATAAATATATATTAGATACACCCTAATCTCTAGTCAAGTCAAAAACACAATTTTATTTCTCACAGTAGATGCAAGGTTTCGCTCAATGAGGCGGCAAAAACATAACACACTAAGCCTCATATTTAATCATCTATAGATCTACATGATGTATCATTATGTGATCCAGTGACAAAGTGTATAATTAAGTCCCTGCCGGTCAATATATTATCAGTCATATGAAAGAAATTTCATAACTGAGTTAACATTATTTTCACCTTTTCCCTACAATTTAAAACAAGAATGAAGTAAATATGACCATATTTGACGAAAATACAGAACTTTAAATTGTGCGAGGTGAGGAAACATAAAAAGGAGAAAATTGCCTCCAAAGTTCAGCAACATGTTTCCATAGCAACAGGGGTCTTAGAATTGAGATAGAGTCTTGAAATTTAGCAGTTATCTTGGCTATGCCACTACAAGGTAATATATGGAAGTTGAAAACTATTCATTTACAATGAAAAAAACGTATGGACAAAACAAAATTTCCCTAAGAATGGACTCCACGCCAAATGCAACAAAATATTAGCATTACACTAGGTACCAGATTTTCAAAGTAGCTGTATGTCAAATTCGTTCTTTTTCATACGAAAGGCCTGTGTCTCCTGAGAATTTTGGTACCATACTTTTACCTCTAGGTCAATGTTTAACAGAATAGCAGCTGTTTAAATTTAACATAGTAATCAAATATTGCTGAAGTCCGGAGTGAGACATGGCTGCAATCTCTCCCCTCTGCTCTTCGTGATCTACATGGACCAGATAACAAAAGAGGCCAATCCAGACCCAGAGGCACT